TATATATATATTCACACACACACACACACACATATATATATATATATATATATATTACACTATTATTGGTGTTAAGTGTAACTGTGACATTAGTCAATACTTTTAATCTGTGGTGCACAAACTGTGAGACATACTCCCCAGGGAGGCACGGAGAGTCATGAAGTTGTGCAACTATGACTTTGGGAGTATATAAGTTATCTCTTAAAGTACAAATTTAGAAATAACATAGAAGTATTTCTATTATTAAGCATTAAGATAGGAACAACAAATAACATGTAAAGTATATTCAAAAACAAGTTATATAAGGCGAGGTGGGGTAGAGAACAAAACATATTTAGAAAGATGGGTGCTGTAAAAAATGTTTGTGCACCACTGATCTAGAACATATAGACATTGAAAGTTATGTTATTACATCACGTACATATGTATGTGATCCCAAATAATAAGCTTTAATAAATGGCACCACATATATATATAGAACAGACAAAGAATACAAGGGTGAAAGCTATAGAGACAAAATGTAAGAGTACTGATGAAGGTTGAACCAACATAATGGTAGGGGATATACCATCTATAATATATAACCTCTATTTTGCTGGGTTTTTTAATGTGTAATGAAATTATAGTTTAAAAATTCAACCAGGTGCAACTGTTCCTAAGAGCTGGATTAGCATGTTAATATTGAATACATATATATATTCCATTCATCTGGAACTTGTAATTAACTACATACACAAACTTTAATTTTTTTTTAATGTTTTGAATACAGATATATATATATTTATTAAATTATTTATCATTTCTGCATGTCATAATTTTTCTCTTTCCCTTTATTTTTCAGCATCCTGACAATCCTTGATTTAAAATTTCATGCAGTTGAAGTTTTAAACTGCAACGTAACTTATGCAACAGAACTATAACTTTAAATCTGAACAACACCAGGTACTGTGACACAGTCTCATTCTTTTTTAAACTCAGTCTCAGAGACATCCAGAATTACTTCTTAATATATCTTGGCAAACCTATTATATAGCAGACCTATTTGATTAACTCTTTAGTGAAATTAGTTTTATTTTAAAATACCACATGTTCAAGGTCAAGGTATTTAAATTTTTAAAAATAAAAAATATTAAAAGAATAAATGGGACAATGTGCTAAAGACTGACAAAAAAAACTGATATTTTTAAAAACTGTAGGAGATGTGGCCATGAGAAGTTTAAGCTTAAACAGTGAAAGCAAACATGGGGATAATTTTTCTAATTGCATAAACAAGATAAAATTTCAAAGTTGATAATGTTAGCAGTATCATAACACACTGGTTTATCACATAATACCAAATGGATGGCAGTTCTTGCTGGTTTGGGATTCCAGTAGGAAAATTATTCAAAACATACCACCTGTTGAATAAGAGATATTTAGATAAGAAGAAACCATTTAAGGATATAAAAGTTATGAAATGGCTGTCATGCCAAAAACCTAATGCTAATCTAATTGAAAAAGAGAAGCCAGCTAATATATGTGGCAAAAGTAATCACACTGCTAGTAGTTCTCTGAGATAGTCGATCTGTTTTTTTTTGTTTTTTTGCTGTAAACTTTCACACTGTATAGCTATAAGAATTTATTAAATACTGATTTAACTTATCTTATGAAATGAAGTTCTTATACTCAATACTGGGTATTATAACATGTGAGTTACAACAAAATTTTGTATATCTCAAACTTTCCTGAAAAATTTAGTGTTAGCACTTTGGATTCAGATTTTTGACCAGCACTGTATATATATATATATGCATTTATATATAAGCAGAAAGAAAGGCAGTATTGGTTTAAGAAACTACTTACTGCAGTAAACATTTATACACACGTCCACAGAGGGAATTCTAAAACAAAAAGAGGTCTAATAATTTGTAAGTTCTAATACATGGTAATGGTCAAAACATCTCTTATATTTCACATTTACTCTTGCTTGAATAAATAAGCAAGATTAAATCCTATATATCAAATTAGTCAAAACAGCCAATAATATCTACACACACACACACACACATGCTGACTGGTCCATTTTACAATATTGAAATGAACTGCATTTTCCCAGATTAACAGCTTGAACTTAGTGTGGAAAAACTACAAGATGCTTGAATGTGTCTTGTTTGTTACCAGTCAATTCACTCAATGTATGAACAAATATTGATTCATCAAAATTATTTGTTTGTTTGTAATTAAACACAAAGCTACACACTAGGCTATCTGTGCTCTGCCCACCACAGGTATCGAAACCCGGATTCTAGCGTTGTAATTCCACAGACATACCGCTGTGCCACTGGGGGGGGGGGGGGGGGTCACTAATTATAGAGTAGTACGAACTAGTTAAAGAAGTATCGACTACTTACGTAAGTTACACTCTAACTAAATTCGCT